ACCTGCCTCCGGGGGTGTCTCGGCTGAGTGGCTCTGAATTGCTTTCACAGCTGCACCTCCAGGGCACTACGGAGGGGATGGGTCATCCTATCTCCTTCTCAGGGTTGCTCAAGTGTCACGGCTACTGCTGGGTGGCCCCCTTGTGACATGCGTAGTACGAGATCCGGCACCCAAGCTTTTCTTGACTAGCGTGCACCCTTAGGGGAGCAGTGTGGACCCAGGCATCTATTTACGTATGTAAGGTCTGCAACGTACTTGGTAAGCAACAGGTACTCTGCAAGTAATGACGGGCAATCAATGAGAAAGCAACCTGGTGGGACGTCTAGAGACCCTGTCCTCCCAGCATGCCTTGAGCCCACCTGTCGGAGGAGGGAGGACCACCAAACAGGAGGCTGCTTTTGGCCTGGGCCCACTCTGTGGTGTGGAGACGGAGAGACGTGGGCTGCCACCCGGTGCTGCTGTGCGCCTCTGGCCGGCTGCTAACCCTGAGCTGAGTCTTCTCACATCATCACCACAGGGACCATGAGGCCCGAGGGATGAGGCCGGGTCGGAGCCTGGCAGCAGCGGGTGCTCCTGAGGAGCCTGGGGGAGTAGGCGGGGCCCCTGAGCAGCCAGACACAGTGCTGAGGGGTCCCAGGGAGCACTCACCTGTGCACAGGTCCTCTCTCAGCCAGTTCAGCTCTCTCACCTTGACTATCCCACCTGTGAGAACAAAGGAGACTCACAACCCCTCACACTCCACACCAGACACCAAGATCATCCTTCATTTTCTCCTACCCATCTCTCCACCCATCCATCTATCCACCTTCTACCCACTCCCTCCCTCCCCCATTCATCTGCTCACCTTTCTCCCATCCTCCCATTTGCCCCCCACCCACTCTCTGAGCGCTTCTGAAAGCCAACATCTGGTACTTTGTCAGGCACAGCCCCCAGGTGCGGGGTCACCCAGCCTTGAAGCCAGCCGGAGGATGGGCAGGCCGTGTGGCTGGGGGATGTCAACAACAGGGCGTGCCTGAAGTGGAGGGGAGCGGAGGCCACCAGGCAGAGCCAGGAAGAAGTTGAGCCGGGAGCAGGCCCCTAGCTCTGTGCCCCTGCTGAGAGGTCAGCGAGGGTCACTCTGTGAAAGTCACTTGGCCGGTCTGCGGAGGACCGCCTGAAAGGTGAGCAGGGTTGGGTGGGCAGGAAGGCGCTGGGCTGAGCTGGGGGAGGTGGGTGTGGGAAGGAGCTAAGGGCCCAGGCCTGGTCGCCTGTCACCTGATGCATGTGGAGGCACCCTGCAGCCCCTGGGAGGCCCTAGCAAAGGCCTGTCCACCCCCACCCCCCAAGGGCAGAGCTCTCCTACTGGGCTCACCTCCGGCTGTCAGGTGGCTGTTGAGGGTGATGTTTCGCTGGCACATGGCCAGGAGGTCAGCACCGACATCTGCGAGGACAGAAGGCAGGTCAGAGGCGCCGGCCAGAGGGGAGCGGGTCTCCCCTTGGGTCTCTCTGGAGAGCGGCGGCATGAGCCCGAGGGTTGCAGCAGGGCCGTTATGAGACAAGGGTCCTCTGGCCTCTGCTGCCCACAGGAAGCAACTCCTTTGAGAGTCCCTTGGGGTTCCCCCTTGAAGAGAGGATGGCCAAAGGGTGGGGCCGTCCACCCTCTCAGGTTCAAGACCGCCCTGCAGACCGGTGCTGTGCCCTGCCGTCCAGGGACCCCCTCACAGGCTCAGCTACCTTCACACGGTCCCCCTCCTGGGAGGGAGCGTGGCAGCTGGGATCTCTGCCCGGGTCTGACTTGCTCTGGGACACTAGGGCCCAGTGGTGGGTGTATGGGGGTGAGAAGCCTGGACCCTGAGAGGGTCCATGGAAGCCTGGCTCCCACAGCTCCCTCCCCTCTTCCTCCCACCTGGCAGATCTGGAACAGAGTTGCCGCCCAGCCCCCTTTCAGAGCAGACCCTGTGAGTGGGGGAGACAGAATGACAGCCCACCCCACCACGTCCTCATCTCCGGTGGCCAAACAGCACCTGCACAGGGTGGGGGTCCCTTTCCCGGGCTGCTGGGACACAGGGCATAAGGGCAGGGAGGCTGAAGGCAGGGTGAGCTCAGTGGGCTTTGTCCCGTATGAGCATTTTCGTCCACAGCGCCGACGTGGGACTCTGGGGCATGTGCAGGCGGGAGCAGCAGCAGCCCAGGCGGAGAGAGTCTGGGCTCCTGGAAGCTGGGGCTGGGCCCCCCCTTGTCTCAGCTCCGGGGACCGTGGTTTAAAAACTCCTTAGGATGAAACTTTTTCCCGCTGGGCGGGTTCGAACTGACAGCCTTGGGTAGCAGATGAAGGAAAGTCTGGAGGGCTGGGTCTGTAACGATGACAGCCCAGAAACGCTTAGGGGGTAGCTCTACTCTGTGACCCGCAGTCCCTGTGCGTCACAAAGACCGCTCGACACCACCTGACAAGAACCACCGCCTGTGAGCAGCCGCGACAAGCACAGGGTCAGGGAAGCTCGTCGGCGTCTCCGACATGTGCAGCCTCTCGCTGTAGGAGCCCGCTCTGAGAGCAACAGGGGCAGCCGTGCCAGGGGGGTCACCCCCATGCTGCTGACGGAAAGGGACCCACTGACGTGCCCAGGCAGAGGGAAATGGCGGGAAAAGAAGGGAAGAAATACTACACAGATGTGTCTTGGAAGAAGTACTACGGCCAGAGGGCTCCTAGAGGCACGGTGGCGAGACTTCCATGTCTGGGTGTGTGGTCAGCAGAGACAGGCCCTGGAGCAGGACCGCGTGCCGGGTAAAGTGGAGGGGCGGCGGGGAGGAGGAAGGCCCTCAGCCAGGCGGGCTGACACCGTGGCTACAACAACGCGTGCAGCATGGGGACAATTGCGGGGGTGGCGCAGGACCGGGCAGTTTTTCGATTTGCCGGGCCGACTTGACGGCACTTAAGTAGCCCAACTTCAAAATCGTGTCAGAAACCATTGCTGTGACACCCGGACATGTTCAGGGTCAACCATGTGCCACAGGGTCACAGCAGGCTGCCGCACCACAGGACGTTCCTGGAAGAGGGATGAAAAGATGACGGGACTTTTTCTTGGATACACACCGCCCGCCCGCTTACCACATATGTGGTGTGACTTCAGCTTGTTGGGGGTGGGGTGGGGGGAGTCTGTACACAAAACAGGAAAACAAACCCCAAACACCCAAGCTCACTGCCATGGAGCGGACGTTGACTCACTGCAACCCCACAGGACATGGTAGAACTGCCCCTGTGGGTTTCTGCGACGGGGACTCTTTAGAGGAGAAGAGGCTTCTCTTTCTCCTGCCCAGTGGCTGCTGGTTCAGAACTGCTGACCTTAGGGTGAGCAGCCAGCTCCCAAACACTATGCCAACAGGACTCACCGCAAAAGGAAAATGAAACAGAATCAAGTTTGCAGTCAGCAACCCTGTAGGACAGGGCAGAACTGCCCCTGTGTGTCTCTGAGACAGTTACTCTTTATGGGAGTAGAAAGCCTCATCTTTCTCCCAAAGGGCAGCTGGTGGTTTCAAACTGCTGATCTTAGGGTGAGTAGCCCGATGTAGAACCATGACGCTACCAGGGCTCCTATCCCCAAAGGAAAGAGTTCTATTAGTAAAATGAGAACAGCCGACATGCGGACTATGAGAGAAGCTCCCTGGCAGAGCCCTGGGCTGATTTCTCTGTGGCTAGATCTCCTGTGCCTGACACCATGCCCGGCGCATAGTAGGCGCTCCTTACCTTGATGAGTGCATCCGGGGACTACAGAACGGAGTGGGTCTCATTAGCTATTTTACAGACTTCACACAACGAGCACACAATGGGTGCCACTGGGTGGGGGTCAGGGTATGAGACACCCTCACACCCGACTTTGAAGGCGTATCCCGTTGCTATCTAGTGGACAGTCAGAGGGGTCTCCACAGAGCTTTCTCGGCTGAGCTTTTCGACACAGACTGCGAGACGACTGATCTGAGGGGCCTCTGGGTGGGCTTGAACCCGCAACCTTGGAGACCACAGCCGTTTGTACTACCAAGGGGCTCTTGCAGAGAGCCTCTGAGAGGGCGGACACTATCTCCACGGACCGGGTGTCTTGGGTCATGCTGAGGAAAGGGCGCAGGGGGGAGAGCGTTCTGCAGGCTGTGAGCCTGGCGCGTGGCCTCACCTGTGCAGTACACGGTCCGGGCTACGCTGGCTGAGACGATGCTGGTCAGTCCAGTGCCGGCCCCCAGCTCCAGCATGGTACATCCCTGCAAGACGTCCTGCTGGAACAGGATGTAATCGGCCAGGAGCAGGGCGCCCCGCCACACCTGCAGGGGACCAACAAGCAAGGGCAGGCTGCAGGAGGCCCCGGGGAGAAGTCAGGTGGGCCCAGGACAGCAGAAGGGACTTACCTACCTGCTTGCCCACGTCTTCCAGGGGGGTGGCCATCGTGTGCTCTGGACCAAGAGAGAAATTCCCCCAGTGAAAACGGGGTGGACAGAAAGGAGCTGGGGACCAGTGGGCGGCAGGCAGGTGGACGGGGGTGTGGCTAGCAGTCTAAAGAGAGCGTGGTTTGGCCAGGACTCTCGGGCTGTCCCGTGGCCATGACGGTCAGTCTTGGTATCGGCCTGGCCAGGCGACCATCCTCCTATTTAATCAATCCTTATCTCGATGCGGATGGGCTTGATCTCTGTAGTCAGGAGGGATCTGTCCCTGCAGAATGGACATCGCGCTTGATCCAGTAGAGGGGCAGTGAAACAGGAAGACCCTCAAGGAGATGGACTGACACAGGAGTGGCTGCAACAATGGGCTCAGATGTGACAATGGTCCGGACGGTGCAGGGCCGGGCCACGTTTCCTTCTGCTGTACCGAGGTTGCCGTGGGTGGGCACTGACTCGACGGCATTTACCAACAACAGTGAGCCCTGTGACAGAGGAGAGGTGCCCGCTGGCTTTGCTGGCCGCCATTCGTACAGACGGCTGTCTCCTGTGCCAACACCAGCCGCTGGGAACCGTGCAGTGCCGCCTTACTCGACACGTCCTGGGCCCCAGGCAACCACGTTCTTAGCTTCTGGTTCCCATCACCACGGCGGGAGTGGAGACAGAGGTACGGAGTTAACTTCTTAATAACTACATTTCCCCCAAGGATTGAGCTGCCTAACATGACTGCTTGGTTTATACCAGTCCCTCTGTGGACTGTTCACGGACGGGGTCTCTGAGGCAGGCCTGTGAGCCGAATCTCACTTAGCACTGAGAGCTACCCAGCCCAGCGTGACACGTTCTAGCACGACCCTTCCCTTGGTGCTCTGTTCTGCGTGAGCTGGCCGAGCCCCTGGCGCCCCACGAGCGAGGGGCTGACACAACGTCTGCATTCAGAAAAGAGGACCGGGCTGCTATGAGCACTGAGCAGGAGCTGCCAGCCGAGGACTCCAGCTCTCGGGGCTCTAAGGACTCACTTGTTGTACATCGCCTGGCCTTTCTTCCAAGGTGCTGGTGAGCAGGCTCATGCTGCGGCCTTTTGGTGAGTAGCCACACTTAGCTATCTGTGCCACCCAGTGATCCGTGGCCACCATGTAGGTGAGGACACAAGGCCTGCAGAGGTGAAGCTGGCTGCCCAGGGCTACAGAGCCGGTCGGAGGATGCCATGGGCCTCCTGTTTGCTTCCATGTCCACTGCCCGGGTCCCCTGTCCCAGAGAAGGGAGAGAGGGGAGCTGCTTCCATAGCCTGGGCACAGGACCTTGCAGATAGGCACAGGATTTTTAAGGTGGGCATGGGAGGGCATCTCCACAACCTTCTAGGCCCTTCCAGTTGGCAGCCCGGCTCCTAGTGCTCTCTTGGGCCTGCCTGCCTGCCTGCCATTACCTTTCAACATCTCCCTGGCATGGGCCCTGGCCTGGTCTCTGGCTCCTCCAGTGCTGAGGGTCCTTGGCTGGGGGTCTGGGCTGCCTCAGGTACGTCATTTTCTCTGAGCCTTGGTGGTACCCCACCTCCATATTTAGGGTGGTCAGCTGCTTTTTCAGATGTCACACAGACCTGCCATGCCCACACTTGGCCACTTGTTAGGGGGGGCTGAGGCACCTCAATTCTCAGAGCTGCCAGCCCTCCTTGCTGAACGCAGACGCAGACGCTCTATCAGTCCCTTGCTTGTGGGGTCGCCAGGGGGCTTGGCCAGGCCAAGCAGAACAGAATGGCAAGGCCAGGGTGGGGTCCCGTGGTCAGTCACCGAGCCCAGGGAAGGGAAAGGGTCTGCTCAGGGCCATACAGGAAAAATTCGCCGCTGTGGTTTCTAATGGCAACAGATTTCCACACCATGAGCCACGGCTGCACCGACCTTCAGGACAAAACTCTGAAGGTGAGGAGAGGTGGGGACCGGAGGTGGGAGCACAGGGAGGAGTGGGCGTGCCGTGCTGCACGGTGGGAGTGACGATGAGATCAGGCACCAGGCCCGCGGTGCAGTGCTGCCCAGAGGGGAGGAGGGGCTACTGGGTAAACCCTTCCTCTGGCCACAACCCTGAGCTGGGATGCTCTTGTAAACCGGAATCCGATGACAAACGGACGCCAGACGTGTGTGGCCTTTGCAGCCAGCGAGTGAAGACAAGAGAAAACGCCGGGCAGCTGGACAAGAACGACCACTTACTATGTGCCAAAGGAGCCCTGGTGGGATAGTGGGTTAAGCATTTGGCTGCTAACCAAGAGGTTAGGGGTTTGGACCACCAGTTGCTCTGTGGGAGCAGGGCGTGTCCATCTGCTCCCATCAAGATGAGCAGCCTCGGAAGCCCTTTGGGGCCGTCCTAATCTGCCCCGCATGGCCACTCAGAGTCAGGACTCGGAGACATTGGAGGGGTGCTGCTACGCACCGGGCACTGTGGGGAGAGAGGGTTGGGCACCTCTCAGCTACAGGCTGCTGCACCCTTTTCTCAGACCGGGAAACGGAGCCCAGTCCCCCGGCCCCTGGCTGCCGGTCCCACCTTCTGCCAGCTCTCCCCGAGACTCTGAACCCCTGCCATGCTGTGGGCAGATCAGAACTCAGACACAGGAAGACAAGGGTCCCTGGGGAGTGGGGGTGGTGGGGTGATGGCCACAGTGGGCCTGCCGGCAGTTAGGGATGACAGCAAGGGCAGAGATGGGACCAGGTACTCCCGAGGCAGGACCAGAGAGAGAGAGAGAGAGAGAGAGAGAGAGAGAGCTCGAGCAGCGGGGGGAATGTGAGGCCTTTCACCCCGAGGGCAATGGGGAGTCAAGGGGAGGCTTGAGCAGGGGAGTGGCCCTCTTGGGGCAGCAGGTCTGCTTGCTCTCAGCTGGCCTGGCCTGCGTGGGACCCTCAGTGCAGGCCTGTTACCTATTCTGATGACGTGACCGAGGCTGCCCTCGCCCGCCTCCTCTCCTGGGGCCTCCTCTTCCAGGCACAGAATCACGGGGTGCACCTTGTCCCTCGAAGGCCCTGCTGGGTCAGGGTCAGGGGTGGCTTGGGGTCTCCTCACCACGTCCAAGTCCCCGTCCTCGTCCAGCTGGGCTCCTGTCCCCTCCTGGCTGGGGTCACTCCCTGGGGGGCTGGTCTCAGGGTGGGCACTGCTGTGGTCTCCACCCTTGGGCCCTGCGTCCTGACCCCACAGAAGCTGGAAATGCGACAGGAACACTGAAAGGTAAGGCAAGACCAGGGGGGGCGGGGTGTCACCGCTTTTCTTTCCTGCTTAGTGAGAAAACCCCACTTCCTTGGTAAAGTCGGGAGAAGGGTAACGCTATGGAAAATGTACACCGGCAGGAAGGCCCACTTCCTTTGGCTGTAATGCTGTGCCACCAGGCAGAGCCACGGCGACACTGTAGGCACATGTCCTGTGTTGCCTCACTGGCTCTTCCCACTTGCTCTGAGCGTGGCCCTGTCTGCTCCCCTTCACAGACAGGACACTGAGGCCCACCGATGTGCAGTGAGCAGGCTCAGGGCACGGCTGAGGCAGTTGGGACTCAGACCTGTCACCTGACTGATTGTGGGGAGCAGGCTGAGGCGCTGAAGTGCCCTCT